ATCGGCAGGCGGACTCTCAACCACTGCGCCACCAGGGAAGCCCGAAATTATATATTTTTAAATAGCAGTTCCAACTGCATGCTACTTATACAAAATGTATAAATAGGTTAAAAGAAAAAGGATGGGAAAAGATATACAATGTGAACATTAATAAAAAGAATCTGAGTGGCCATATAAATATAAAAGTAGATTTCAAGCAAAGGATATCATCAGGGATAGAGAAGGACATCTCAAAATGATAAAGGGCTCAATTTTTCAAGAGAACATAACAATCCTAAATAAATGTATGTGCATCTAATAAAAGAGCTTCAAAATACTGAAGCAGAAATTGGCAAAACTATAAGGAGAAATAGATAAATACACATTTAGAGTTATAGATTTCAATACCTTTCTCTCAATAATTGATAGACAAGTAAACAGAAAATCAGAAAGGATGTAGAAGACTTGAACACTACTATTAATAAAATTCAGCTACTTGGCATTTATAGAATACTTCACCCAGAAACAACAGAACGCACATTTTTTACAAGGGCGCTTGGAACATTTTCTAAGATGTAATATATTCTGGGCCATAAAACAATGCTTAACTTTAAATAAATTCAAGTTATTAAAAGTATGTTTTCTGAAAAAAAATTACAATTTAAATAGAAATCATTAACAGAAATGTATCTGGAAAATTCCCAAATATTTTGAAACTAAATAATTCATTTTTCAATAACTCATTGGTCAAATAATAAGTCAAAAGGTAAAAAAAAATTATTTTCACATAATGAAAATGAAAACACCCTATATCAACATTTGCAAGATGCCACTATAGTAAACTTATGGCACTCCATGTCTGTTTTAGAAAAAAGGAAAGATCTTGAGTCAATGGCCTCAACTCACACTTGAAACAAGCAGAAAAAAAAAAGCAAATCAAACCCAAGTAAGAATTAAAAGGGAAATAATAAAGATCAAAGTGAAAAATCTATGAAATAGAAAAACAATAAAGAAAAGTCAATAAACCAAAAGCTAGTATTTTAAGTAGATCAACAAAATTTAAAAACCTCTTGTCAGACTGATCAGGAAAAAAGGATTAAGACACAAATTACTCAATATCAGGAATGATAAAGATGACATCACTCAGATTCTACAGATATTAAAAGGATAGTAAGAAAATATTATGAACAACTTTAAGCCTATAAATTAGAAAACATAGATGAAATGGACAAATTCCTTTAAAGACACAAATTATCAGAGCTCACTTCAAATACAATAATAACATGAATTGCCCCCTATCTATGGAATAAACTGAATTGTAGTTAAAATGTACTCATGAAGAAAACTGCAGGCTGAGATGGCTTCACGAGTGAACTCTACCAAACATTAGGAAAGAAGGTATAACAATCCTCAGAAACTCTTTAAGAAAATTGAAGTGAATACTTCCAATTCATTTTATGAGTCCAGCATTGCCCTGATTCCAAAGCCAGGCAAAGAAAACCATAGACAAGTACCTTTCATGAACAAAATGCAACAATTTTTAAAGAAAATTTTGCAAATTGAATCCAACAATATATAAAAAGGATAAAACATCATGGCCAGATGGGGTTTATCCCAGGAATGCAAGGTTGGTTTGATATGCAAGCCCTAATCAATACAAGTCACTATATTAACTACAAGAGAAAAACCATTTGATCATCTCTATAGGATGCAGAAAAAACTTGGCCAATTTTAACACCCATTCCTGATTAAAAACTTAGAAAACTAAGAACAGAAAAGTACTTTCCATCTTGTGTAAGGTCAGCTATGAAAAACCTACAGTTGATACCATATTTCATGATGAAAGATGAAATCTTTTCACCCTAATGTCATGAACAAGGCAAGGATGTCTGTTCTCACTACTCTTTTTCAAGATAGTGCTGGAAGTGCTAGCCAGCACAAAAAGACAAGAGAAAGAAAGAAAAGGCATGGACTGTGAAGAGCCACAGTTGGCATAAGTATGTATGTATGAAGTTGCCAAGCATCTACAAATAAAACACTAAAAAGTGAATTTAGCAAGCTTGCAGGACACAGCACACTGTAAAACGTTATTGTATTTCTATGTGCCATATACCCAAAATACACACACACACACACACACACACACACACTCGGACAGCTGCTTTTTGACAAAGGTGCAAAAGCAATTAAATGGAGAAAGGACAGCCTTTTCAACAAGTGACACTGGAACAAGTGGATGCCCATGTGCAAAAGAATCAACTTGAGTCCATAACATGCATCATATAAAAATAATTTAAGATGGATTATAGACCTCAATGTAAAATCTGAAACTATAAACCTCTAGATGAAAAACATAGGAGAAAATCTTTGTGATCTTGAGTTAGGCAAAGAGTTTTTAGCTACGACACCAGATACACAATACATAAAAAGTAAATTGATAAATGGAACTTTATCAGAATTAAAACTTGTGCTCTTTGAGAGACACTATTAAGAGAAAGAAAAGACAAATCACAAATTGGGAGAAAACTTTTGCCACGTATATATCTGATAATGCACTTATGTCTAGAATATATAATGAACTCTCAAAACTCAATAGTAAGAAAATAGCCCAATTAAAAATAAAATGGACAAAAGATTTGAACAGACATTTTCCCAAAGAAGTTATATGGATGGCAATGAGCACATGAAAACATGCTTAACATCATTAGTCATTAGGGAAATGCAAATTAAAATCACAATATGATACTATTACACATATTTCAGAATAGCTAAAATTAAAAAGACTGACAATACCAAGTGCTGGAGAGGATGTGGAGGATATTAATCCTGATATGCTGCTGGTGGAATGTAAAATGATACAACCACTTCGGAAGTGTAAAACTTCTCAAAAAGTTAAACATTTACCACGTGTCCCAGACATTCAATTCCAAGAGAAAAGGCAGCAGATGTCTACACAAAGACTTGTACACAGATGTTCATAGCAGCTTTATTTGTAATAGCACCAAACTGGCAACAACCAAAATGTCCATCCACAGATGAATGGAAGAACAAATTGTGGTACATCTGTACAATGGACCACTTCTCAGAAAAAAGAAAAGAAAAAGAAAAAAGAAAGAAATGATTTATTGATAAACACAATATGGATAAATCTCAAAAATAACTATGTTGATACAAATAACAAATGCTGGAGGGCATGTAGAGAAAAGGAAACCCTCCTACACTGTTGGCGGGATTGTAAATTGGTGCAGCCACTATGGAGAACAGTAGGGAGGTTCCTCAGAAAACTAAAAATAGAATTACCATATGATCCAGCAATCTCACTCCTGGGCATATATCCAGACAAAACTCTAATTCAAAAATATACACGCACCCCTGTGTTCATAGCAGCACTATTAACAATAGCCAAGACATGGAAACAACTTAAATGTCCATCGACAGATGAATGGATAAAGAAGATGTGGTACACGTATACCATAGAATATTACTCAGTCATAAAAAAAGAAAGAAATAATGGAATCTAAAATATGACACAAATGAACCTATCTATGAAACAGAAACAGAATCACAGGCACAGAGAACAGACTGGTAGTTGCCAAGGGGGAGGGGGTGGGGGGGAGGATGGAGTGGGAGGTTGAGATTAGCAGATGTAAGCTTTTACATATGGAATGGATAAACAACAAGGTCCTACGGTATAGCACAGAGAACTATATTCAATATCCTATGATAAACCATAATAAAAAAGAATATTAAAAAAATGTATATATGTCTAACTGAATCACTTTGCTGTACAGCAGTAAACACAACGTTGTAAATCAACTATACTTCAATAAAAAATAAGTATAAATTAAAAAAAATAATGTTGAGTGAAAGAAGTCAGGCAAAAAAAAAAAGACTACATACTGTATATTCCATTTGTATAAAACTATAGAAAATGAAAATCTACAGTGACATGAAACAAACGAATAGGGATGGAGGGGAAAGAGAAGGGAAGCCTGGGAGAGATTACAAACGTACAGGGGGTGATGGAGATGTTTACTATACGGATTGCTGTGATGGTTTCATGGATGTATACATATGTGAAAACTTACTTTGTATATTTTAAATATGTGCAGTTTTTTGTATGTCAATTATACTGCAGTGAAGCTGCTTTAAAAAAATAAATAAGGCCACGGAAAGTAGAAGGACTTTACTCTCATAAGACTGTACTCTATCTGGTCTGCAAACAGGTGCACACAAAATCTGCACACTTAGCTGGAGCCTACCTGACAACACCTCTGCAACATTATGCAAATCACCGTGAGAAGGAAACAATAATTACGTTAGAAACCACCGGAACATGGTTGTTTTCACACACATTTTCTTGTTTGTTTTCAGATCTGGGTTGTCTTTAGCATATGGCTGTCAGTTAACCCAACTCGGGGCTTTTCTCTTCGGTTTAGAGAATCTGAAATTGAGCTCTGCTGGGGTTAAGTCCATGTGGTGGTTCATGGGTGTGGAAAGTACCTACAGCTGACCACAGACTAGAGTTCCCTACAGCTACATTAGTCTCGGAACTAACTATTGTCTCCTAAGTTGTTTGTTTTTAAAAAAATCCCATAGTCTTCATTTTAATTGCTCTTAAATAATCTATGAAATATGCTTCTTTTCTGCTCTTGTCAGTTCCTAACGTCAGATTTTTCTTTCTGCATCCCGGCGGAGATCTTGCTAAAGAATGATTCCAACAGCATGTTCAGTCTCTCCTTCCCTTTTGTGCTTCCCTGAGCAGACCTCCCAACCCAACTGCTGTGAAGGGGCCCAGATCTAAGGGCTGTTCTTGGCGCCCCAAACGCGCCAAGTCTTGTCACTAAGGTGGCCCCGTCTGGGCATAGCCATCTAAAGCAACCGTCTACTTCTTATCAGAAAATCTTGTGCTTCAACAAAGCCTTTTCTAGAACTAACCACGCCATGGTGAGGTGCGGAGGAGGGGCAGAGCACCCCTGGGCCTGGGTTTACAGAACCCCTCATCAGCTCTGCACCTCATCTCTGTTTTGCAGCATTGCTCAGGGAACCACTGGACTTTGTATCTGTGGAAGAAGGGGGAAGAGACCGCTGACTGCATTTCTGTCCCTGTGCTGAAAAGGATGCTATGTCAGAGAACCATTCCAGCAAACTTCAAAGGTCAGTATCACCCCATGTTACAGATGAAGCTCAGAGAGCCTCAGCAGCTCACATGCCCCAGGTCTCAGTGGGATGGGGCAGAGCAAGGATTTGAACCCAGGCCAGAGGACCCACATGCTTTCCTCAGCTCGGCATGCTGCCTCACCATGACTGCTGGGTCACCACCACTCTCCATGACCACCCGTTCATTGCTCCGCACTACTGCCAGGTCACTATTCCCCACTGGTCTGATCCTCTAGGTTTCCCTATAAATAAACCCATTTGTCCATGAAGTCAAGGAGGCAGGCAGGGGCCCTTCACACAGGACCTTTTAGGCCATGGTAAAGAGTTTAGACTTTAGTCTAAGAGAGGGTTTTGCTTAGAAGGAGAGATAGGATCAGATCCTTCAAGAAAAGATGCTTATAAGACTAGGAAACAACCTAAATGTCCATCAACAGATGAATGGATAAAGAAGATATGGTACATATATAAAATGGAATATTACTGGCCATAAAAAGGAATGAAATAATGCCATTTGCAGCAACATGGAGAGACCTAGAGATTATCATACTAAGCAAAGTAAGTCAGAAAGAGAAAGACAAATACCATATGATATGACTTATATGTAGGATCTAAAGTATGACACAAATGAACTTATCTACGAAACAGAAACACTCACAGACATAGAGAACAGACTTGTGGTTGCCAAGGGGGAAGGGGGGTGGGGGAGGGTTGGGCTGGGAGTTTGGGAGTAGCAGATGCAAACTATTATATATAGTATGGATAAACCACAAGGTCCTACTGTATAGCACAAGGAACTATATTCAATATCCTGTGATAAACCATAATGGAAAAGAAAAAAAAAAAAACAGAAAGAAAGGATGCTTAGGGACCGGTCCAGGCTCCACTGCAGTAGCCCAGGCAAGAGGTGATAGTGGCTTGGACTTGAGTGGTGATAGTAAGAATGACAAAAAGTGGAGACACTCAGAAATTGTTTCAGAGGTAGAGTCAAACTAGACTTGTTGAAGAACTAGACGTGGGGAGTGAGGATTACGAGCAGAACCAAGGCTGACTCGTAGGATTTTGTCTTCAGAAATTTGAAAACCCAAGACGAACAAGAGTGAGGTAAAATCAGACTTGGGAAAATCTTGTGCTTCGTTTGGGACAAATCTAAATTTGAAATGCCTGCTGAAATAGAAGTAGAGTAGACCATGGAATATATGAGTATGGACTCTGGATGGATATACAAATTCAGGAGTCATGAACACATTGATTGTAAACATAAAGCCATGAGAGTGGATGAGATCACCAAGGGAGACATTGTGCATAGAGAAGAAAGAGGGGTAAGAAATGAACCCTGGACAGGGCAGCACTTAGAGCAGAGGCAACAGATGCAGCCTAGAAGACTAGGAAAGGACAGTCAGTGCAGGAGGAGGAAAGCAAAGAGCGTGCGGTGTTCTGGAAGCAAAGAGAATAAAGGGCATCAGAAAAGAGGTGTGGTCAGTTGTGTCAAATCAGATGAAGACAGACTTGTCCACTGAATTTGGTAGCAACAAATCATGGCAGCCTGCCATATAAATGGTTACATCCAAAAATATCTAGAAAATATTGTTCAGCCTCCACACATTTAATAAGCACTATGTGTGAGATATGCTCTCAGGTACTGGGAAACAGAGATTCATAAGACATGGTCTCTGTTCTCAAGGAGTTTACAGTGTTGAGGAAGAAAGAGGCAATAGTCACTACTGATACTGCAACAGCCCTGTACGTCAGTTTGCCAATAAGGATACCGCAGCAGGGAGAGGTCAAGGGATGCCTCAGATTTTCGACGACAAAGCCCAGGCTTAAATGTAACATAAAACATCCAAATAGGAATTCGCTAAGGTGACAGCAGTGATTTGACAAATCAACAACAGTTTGGCCAGAAAGCAAACGTTTGCAGTTGAGGCAGACTTCAGCACACAGGGAAGATGCTTTCCACTTTGTGAGATGTGTTCTGGTTGGTGGAAGACTGTGTGAATTAGGTAGACTGAGGGAAAGACTAATTGATTTAGGAGCGTACAATCAAGACAACTGGATAGCCTAGTGAAGCTCGCAGAAAACAAGAATATAAAAGTATAAGGAAGATAAAATTAGATTTAACTTGGTGGCCATCGTGTCTGAGTAGAAACTGATGTATAAACGAAGACAGCAGAGTGACAAAGACAAGCTGCAAAGTAGGAACCCAGGGGCAGGAATGTGTTAAGTCCGGAAAAAACATAATGATCTGCTTTTCCATGTGGGATTATAAAAGGTTTTAACTGAACACCAGCTAAAATGGCAAAAGAAAAACAGACTGCAAAGAAAACTCAAGAAGCCCACTGAAGAGGGAACTTGGGGGCCCAGTACATACTTGCGGATCCCTAACCTTCCCCATCAGCAACATATGCATGTAATATACATTAAATAAAAGTGAGGTTGAGAGTTGTCTGCCCAAATTCCATTATCTGACATGATATCTCAGAATTCCTATTGATTTCGCCAGAAATAGAACTACTGTAATGGATCTAGAAAATGCCTAAATTGTATTTTCCATCTGAAAATTGTTCTAATTAACTTTTGATCTTTTGTCCAGTTAGACTTTAAAAATTTCTTATGTCAAATCTTGTTTAAACTATTTCTCCTCATCATAATAGAAGAAACTTATGTCTTCATTTTTAATACCTAGTTGCTTTGAAGATTCTTCTAATACTGAATTTTCATTCTTATCTTTTGGACCGGTTATTTGAAAAATTATGATTTTAATGCAGATAATCTGGAAGGGATAAAAGTATAACTCCGAGTAATTTTCATATTGCTGCCAGTAGAAAAGTAATACACGATGCCAATCTATTTTGGCGAAAAATATTTCTAATGGGCAAAAGACTTGGGTGACCAGATGCCTCATAAAAGAGGATACCTAAATGGCCAATAAGCACATGAAAATGTTCTCAACCCATTATTCATGAGAGAACTCTAACTTAAAACCACACACGAAATATCACCATAAATCCACTCAAATGGCTAAAGTTAAAGAGATGGACAATACTAAAAGTTGGCAAGATGTAGAAAAAGCAGAGCGCTCACGGTTGGTATGGATGCAAAATGGTACAAGACCACTGAAAAATTGTTGGCATTTTCTAGTAAAATAAACATTTCCCTCCTGAATCACCCAGCAACTCCACTCCTAGGAATTTATCAAAGAGAAGTAATAGTAAATGTCCACCAAAATGTTTATAAGTTTAATTTGTGATAGCTAAAAATAAGACACAACCCATATGTCCATTAAATGTCTATCAAGATACACTCTAAATTGCAGTGTAGCCATACAATGGAAAACAACTTAGCAATGAAAAAGAGCAAACTACTAAGATCCATGTAATTTAAATTTGGATGAATCTCAAAAACATTATGCTGAGGGAAAGAAACTGAACACAGAAAGCCTGTATTGTGTGATTCCATTTTCATGAAGTTCAAGAACAGGCAAAACCAATACTATGATGATAGAAGTCAGATAATAGTTACCTCTGGGGAGATGTTGACGGAAAGGGCCAGGAAGGAACCCCCTGGGGTGATGGACTGCTCTGGATCATGATCTGGGTGGGAATGCATAAGTAAGATTTGCACATTTTACTGTATGTAATGTATATCTCAATTTTAAAAAATATAGAATGAATCACAGATGTAGAAAACAAACATATGGTTACCAGGGGATAAGGCAGGGAGAGGGGTGATAGACTGGGAGACTGGGATGGACATATACACACTACTATATATAAAATAGATAACTAATAAGAACCTGCTGTATAGCACAGGGAACTCTACTCAACACTCTGTAATGACCTATATAGGAACAGAATCTAAAAAAGAGTGGATATATGTATATGTATAACCGATTTACTTTGCTGTACACCTGCAACTAACACAACATTGTACATCAACTATACTCCAATAAAATTTTTTTTAGAAAAAATATACAATGAAATAAAGGTCGGGGGCAGGGAGCTATGGTTTTTTCATTTTCTACCATGTTCCAGAAGGGATCTCTTCTGGGGAGGCTGAGCCTCCAATAGCTTGGAGAACGGGTCCAGGCCCAGAACTAGCTTAGAACCAAAGTCTGGCTGGTCTTCTCCTCAGTGACTGAGAGCAAGGCCTCTCTCGACTTGAGAGCACCCCAGCTCCAGCCTGTTGGCCTGCAAGTGATGACAGGTTTCTCTGTAGAAAGTGCTGGAAGGCTGCCCCTCCCTTCATAGCTGGTCTCAGAAGCCATCGATAGCACCTAATCACAGTCCAGAGGACTCTCCACGCCTGGCTGTAATTAGATAACAGCAGGGTGACCTCTCAGGGGAGAAGCAGGTTTGCTTTGAGACTTCATGCATTGAGCCAGGACCACTTGCCCCTGCTGGTCTTCTTGAGCAGAACTGGGTGTCAGCGGTCATGGGCACAATTCTTATTTATTGGGTTACACTGGCCCGGGCCTACGATCAGTAGCTTTCTTTCTCATGTGCTAGTGCCTTTAACCCTCATTGTAGGTCAGGACTCTTAGCCCAAGCGGTAGAGGCCACTAATACTAGAGGGCTGGTCCGTGAGTTCAAATCTCTCCCTCCTTCTCCTTCCCCCCCCCTTCCTCCCTCTCTCCCTCTCTCTCTTCAACTCCATTTTTCTCTGTACTGACTTTATTCTCTGGACCACTTTCTTGCCTGCTCCTGACTTTTTGATTTCAGAATAAGAGACCTTCTCTGGCCCAGGGTCCATACCAGTTATCCCCAAAGGACTCTTATTGAGCCATGCCAGGGCCAATCACTGCAGCCCAGGCACGGGGCTTTCTGATTGGTCGGTTGTGTTATGGGCTCACCCCCTTGATTGACAGTCCCACCCCTGCAGTGGGGGAAAGGGCTGAGCCAGACAGAAAGCTAGGCCATGCATACAGAGGAGTTTCCAGTGTCCATTCCATATGCCCATTTCACAGACAGGCACCCAAGTACCTGAGCCCAGATAGTGTATCTGTAACAGAACGAAGATTTGAGACCAGCTGCCCATCAGGGTACATGAACTGGAAACCACCAGAAGCCTGTCTCCATCCCACTTAGGGGAATCAAGCCCAGCGTTCCCCAGCTTGCTCCACTGAAACAGAAAGAAGCCATGGGGAAGACACAGCCCTAGTCCAAACTCCTTCCCCCGTCCATCACCCACACTCGCTGGTGATAACAGTGGGACGGTTTCTGTCTGCGAAACGAATGAGATTGATCTGGGCGCTTATTAAAGGCAGGGGTAGATGTCCCACTTGGGGATGGGGGAGCAGAAAGGATTTCCCTGCTGTTAGGGAGATACACAGTGGGGAGGGCGGACCCCGGCTGGGAGGAGAGGGCAGGGGACAGACCCCACAGGCTCTCTTCACTCTCCTGGGAAGAGAAGTTAGGGCTGTGGAGGGGAGTCAGGGAAATGAGAGGTCATGTTTTCCGTGTGTTTGGGACACTGGTTGAGAGAGAGCCCCTTCAGACAAGGTGCAGCCACCCTGGGGCTCATGGCAGGAAATAACAAGGCTCCTCTGTTTCAGCACTTGCCCTTGGGCATCAGTGTCGGTTGACAGTCCAGGACATAGGGGTCTTTTCCTCAGAGCCTGAGTGCAATAGCTTCCCGGGCTATATACACCCAAACTTCTGAGGACCTCTCCCACAGGTTATGATTTTTAGGCTGTCAGCAGTGAGATCAATTTCTGCCAGGGCTCATGGGAAGGGGAGGATTCAGAAAAAGCCTTCCAAAAGTGGCAACTCCTAAACTGGGTTTTGAAAGATAAATAAGAGTGTTCCAGTTGGCCATGATAGGATGGGGGGCAGAGCATTCCAGGCAGTGGGTTGGCATAGTTCTGGGAGTTGTTGGTTCTTTATTCTTGTGGAAGGTAAAGGCTAGGTCCCCGACAGAGAGGAGAAGAGAGGAAAGCAGGGCAGGAGGCAGATCCCCTGGCCCCCTGGCTCACGCCACTCCCCAGATTCAGTTCGAGTCCATCTGTATGACTACTGCCATGTGCCACCACCTAGATCACTATCAACCTAATATTTTTCTTCCAATCAACTAAAAAATAAATTTTATCCTACTACCAAAAATGGAAGACCATCTTACTTGTCCTAAATAGAAGATAACCATAAAAACAGAAATATAACCATCAAAATAAAAACATTCACCCTTATGCCACCTAAAGCCATCTGGTATGTTATATACCACGTTTTGGAAAACTGCCGTGAGCCGCAGGGAGCCAGGGAAGGATTTGAAGCAAGAGAATCACATGATCAGATCTGCGCTTTAAAAAGACCAGTTTGTTGGGAGGGTCGTGAACAAGCAGAGGGCCAGGCCAGAGGAGAGAGCAGTTAATCAGTTGTCTATTGTTACAAACCCCGTACAGATGTCCTTAAAAAGAAAGCAAAGTTTTTTATTCATATGTCCTTAAAACTAAATTGGGCATCCTTTTCTAGAAGCTCACTATTACTAGCAACTGGGAATTATGAAAATGGCCATTTGGTACAAAGAACCGTTTTACGATGAATGGCCAGTCCAATTCTGGTCTCCCTTTGAGGGGTGAGTTTAGATTCTGGGCTCCCTAAGATCTTTGGGTGAAGAAGTGAGCAAAAACCTCTCCCCTCTTTTCAGGGTTGAACTCACGCAGAGAGGGAACTGGAGACTGCTGACTGTGGTGTGTAAAGTCATCGACTGAAGAGGACCAAGGAGCTTATCTGAAGGAGGTACATCCTTCATCCTTTCCCCACTCAAGGGACTGAAACCAGGCTCTCCCACAGTGCCTGGCCCATGGCTGGCCCTGGGCATCTCACATTCGTCGTTTGCAGCGATAACAGAGGAGTGACAGTCTTGTGTGCAGGCCTAAATGCCAGGACATCTCACAGAAGTTTCACTGCTGTGATGGCAAATTTTGTGTGTCAACTTGGTGAGGCCACGGTACCCCCTTGTCTGGTCAAAAACCATCTAGACGTCGCTGTGGAGGTATTTTTTAGGTGCGATTGATGTTTAAATCAGTAGACTTTGAATAAGGCGGAGCCGATTACCCTCCATAACATGGGTGGGCCTCATCCAATCAGTTGAGGGCCTTAAGCGAAAAGACTGAGGTTTCCCGAAGAGAAAGGAATTCTGCCTTCAGACTGCAACAAAGAAATTCTGCCTGAGGTTTTAGCCTTTGGACTCAAGACTACAACATTGACTCCTGCTGGAATTTCCAGGCTGCCAAGATGCCCTGTAGATTCTGGACTATCTGTCTATCTATCTATCTACCATCTAGCTAGCTGGCTATCTATCATCTACCATCTAGCTAGCTGGCTATCTAGCTATCTATCTACCATCTAGCTAGCTGGCTATCTATCATCTACCATCTAGCTAGCTGGCTAGCTATCTATCTACCATCTAGCTAGCTGGCTAGCTATCTATCTACCATCTAGCTAGCTGGCTAGCTATCTATCTACCATCTAGCTAGCTGGCTAGCTATCATCTACCATCTAGCTAGCTGGCTATCTATCATCTACCATCTAGCTAGCTGGCTATCTATCATCTACCATCTAGCTAGCTGGCTAGCTATCATCTACCATCTAGCTAGCTGGCTAGCTATCTATCTACCATCTAGCTAGCTGGCTAGCTATCTGTTTAAAGCCACAGCACCATGTCTTTGCTTTGTTATTGTTGGTTTCCTCTATTGCTGCCACCCCCAAATGTAGTGCCTTAAAGCAGCATTTTATTATCTTTCATGATTCTGTGGGTTGACTGGATGCAAGGGGACCGGTTTTCTGTTCCACGAGGCCATGGCAGAAGAGGCTAGTTACCTGGGGCTCGTCTGAGCTGGAGTCTCCAAGACTCCCTCCTCATGTAGCTGACAGCTGGTGCTGCCTGCTGACTGGTACCCCAGCTGAGCTATCCTCGGGGTGCTCGGTTCCCATCCACATGCCATGTGACCCAAACTTCTGGTATCATGGAGGCCGAGGTCCAAAAGCAAGTAAGCAGAAGCCACTGGCCCACTTCAGGTCTGGACTCGGAAGTCCCAGAACACACTTCTGTAGGAGTCCTTTGGTCAAGGCAGTCACAGGCCCAGCCCAGGCTGGGGAGGGGAATAGATCCTACATCTCAATCGGTGCATAAAGGAAGGAATGAATTGATGGTGGCCGTGTTTGGAAACTATCAACCACACCAAGTATATTTCCCCTATTTTACCCTGAAAAAACCAACAATACAAAAGCATACTATATTATTTATATCTATTTGGGAAACTTAAAGATGTTTCTTCAGCTGCAATTTCTCTCTGCCCACTTCCAAAGAGGATGTGTAGTCGCTTTTAGTGAATGTAATACGGTAATTGTACTGTTGGCATCAAAATAAAAGGTTATAAAAAGCCATGCAGAGGTAAGAGAAAAGCATGCTAGAGAAAAGCTTGACTAAAATTCTTACTGCAATGGGGCCTCCATTCACTGAGTTCCTGCGTGCCCTGGAAAGGGGAAGCTACCCTTTACCAAAATATTCCATTTGATTGAAGGGACCAGGGCCCGCCCATGGGAGAACCTCAAGAGATAGGAACTTATAAATAACTTATAAATAACAACAGCATAGAAACAATCCCTCAACCACAGATGCAGAGCGTTCTTCTCCCAGAAAAGGAATCACATTACAGAGCGAGAGTCCTGCTGAGGGGAGTTAAAACAGTAGGAACCAAACCGATGTCTGGGCCCCCTGCCGTAGACTCCTCAGAGCCCAATCTCGGAGCCTAGGCTGGTTCCCAGACTTTTTGAAAATTCTTCTGAAGACTGGTGAGCACCCGGGCCTGTGTTTGTGCTGAATTCCCCGCTGTCCAGCTCCTGGCAGTAATTGGTTGAGATGGTTGATAACTGAGCAAGGTTGATATCACATCAGGCCGTGACTCCAGGCTCTCCTGGAACCTCCGGAGCTCTGGATTACTGGACAGCACGTGTGGCACTCCATCCAGACGTGAAGGTTGGTGGGAGGGCCACAGCGGAAATTCCGAAGAAGGCAATTAAAATGTGTTAACCAAAACAGAAAACATCGGTGAGGTAGATGAGAGCGTTTTACTTCAGAGGTGTGATTTTATCAATACTTTTATTGTTCATATTTTATTTTTAGATGTATTTTGCCAAACAAGCCCAAACAAGCCCACTTCTCACTCATTCTAAATTCTTGTGTATTTTTCATGCTTGCATTTGGGGCAAGATTGAGACAAAACACAAAACACTTCGTTCACATTGGAGTGTCAGGTTCTTTTTACTGGTCAAGAGATGCTGTTTCCTGAAGGAGAGAGGGCATCAGACCAAAGCACTGGTTTAATCAAAAAGATTTAGGATGGAGTGAACACCTTTTTTCTGTGGTGACCAAAATGATCTCTGACCACTAGCAAACTCATAGCATCGGTACGCAGTGTGACAGATTTTCAAAGCCACCTACTTCTCCACATCCAAGATGGTTCTGTGCCCATACTCAGTGCATCCATGGCAAATTCACTGAATGTGAGAATTAGAACCTTCCAAAGAACAAGTATATTAGCCAATGATCATCATTATCATCTTTTTTTATTTTTTGGTCCTAAGAAATTTGGGACAAAATTAAATAAAAGGCTTTTGATTTAATTCAGCCGGTTTTTTGTGTATAAAGCTGCCATGTATTACCTTTACCTTAAAAAGTTACTGCGGGGGCTTCCCTGGTGGCGCAGCGGTTGGGAGTCCGCCTGCCGATGCAGGGGACACGGGTTCGCGCCCCGGTCCGGGAAGATCCCACATGCCGCGGAGCGGCTGGGCCCGTGAGCCATGGCCGCTGAGCCTGCGCGTCCGGAGCCTGTGCTCTGCAACGGGAGAGGTCACGGCAGTGAGGGGCCCGCGTACCGCAAAAAAAAAAAAGTTACTGTGAACGGACTGGTGAGTATGCTGTAGTTTTCCGTTTTGTGGAGCACCATGCAGCTGTGAAAAGTATTGATGAAGGAGGTCAGGGACATGGAAAGTTATTTCCACTCAATAGAATGCTGAGTGGAAAAGAAGTATATTTCCTAATGTGTACGCTGCAATGATCCCATTTTGCATCTATCTATCTATCATCTATCTATCTATCTATCATCTTTCTATACTTACATGCATCCACACATACCTTTTTTTTTAAAGATTTTTTTGATGTGGACCATTTTTAAAGTCTTTATTGAATTTGTTACAATATGGCTTCTGTTTTATGTTTTGGGTTTTTTGGCCACAAGGCATGTGGGATCTTAGCTCCCTGACCGGGGATCAAACCCGCATCCCCTGCATTGGAAGGCGAAGTCTTAACCACTGAACCGCCAGGGAAGTCCCCATCTACACATACCTTTAAAGGACATATACCAAAATGTCAACAGTGGCTATCTCTGATAATGTTTTATTTCCTTCTTATTGTACATATTTATTTTCTAGGTTTCATAGAAGAAATACGTGAATTCTTATTTTAAAAAAATTACCAAGACACTGAAGGAGCCAAGAACCCCAGGGGAGTAAACCTGCTGGCGAGTCTACACTATGAAGACCCAGCTTCTCCGGCAGGCAGCCCACAAGGAAAGCCACTTGCTCCCCGGACCGCCCCAAGCACAGACGTTAAGAGTGTGGGGTGAGACCCACCCTACTGGCTCTAATGATCGACCACACTTACAGAGAATTCATTTTCTGGGGAGAAAGCACAGCTGTAGGACAGGCAGATTCAGGACTGGACATTCAAGTGGGCATCTCCTTAGGCTAGGAGATTAAGGATCTTCCACTCTGCATCCAGGTAGGACAGATGTGTGTCCACCCTGGGCTGGCTAGTCCTCTGGTGGCCCTACAAGCAGACATTTTCCCCATAACCATCCAGCTTTTATCTGGAAGGGATGTTGCAACCTTCTGCTGTTTCTGAGGCGGCATGAATGGTGGTCTTCCAGAGTGGGCGTGGGACGATTGGCAGGACAGCTATGGCGCCCCTGGTACCATAGCCCTTGGGCATTGGCCAGCCCACCTTTTCCCCCAGCTCTGCCTGCCTTCCATCTACCCAGGAAGGGCAGCCAGTGCCAGAATGAGCAGGGACTCGAGGTCCAGAGAGCTGGGTGGGGCCGATGGGGGTGGAAGGAAGTAAAGGAAGTCTTTACTTTATCACCTGCAGAAAGGTGTATCGGAGAAGCCCCTGCTGTGCTGGGCTGCACGAATACATGGAAATTGCCCAAATGCCCGGCCCCTACTGGGACTGAGTCACACGGTTTCCAGAGCACAGACAAAACAGGAAAATGCTCATGGGAAGGTAACTTCCTCAAGGGCAGGGATATTGGTCTGTTTTGTTCACTGCTGTCTGTCCAGTGTCTACAACAATGCCTGGCACAGAGTGGGCATCCGATGAATAAATTCATCCAGGAGTGCATGAATGAATGAATGAATGGAACTTGCTAGTAATCAAAGAAATACACATTACAACAATGATGTGGCATTGTTTTGTATATTAATCTGCCCCAAAGTAACATAATGAAAAACACTCAATCCTGGTGAAATCTGATGGGATCTGCCATGTATCTAGTATTAACGGCAATATGTATTAATATAAATCTTTTGGAAAGCAATTTGGTAACAGAGTTATTTAAGAAGTTGCTACTCAGTAATTCCAGTTCTAGAAATGTATGTTAAACAGGTAAATCAGAAGAAGGACAGAGCTGCATATATAAACTATTCCTTGAAACGTTATTCATGACTGTAAAGAGAGGGAGGCAGTCTGAACGGCTAGAACAGTGGACGAGCAGAGAGCTTGTGGTGGTGATTAAGGCCTGTGAAACGGTGAAGCAAAGTGGCAAGTGAGAAAAAAGCAGGGATGCAGAAGTGTCCCTCTAAAATGAGTGTGACCATAAAATATATTCTGGGGAAAAGCCTGGAAGGATGGAGAGTGTATGGATTTTTTTTCCCTTCTAATTTTTGTCATCAAAATATTCTTCACCAAAAAGAGATTAACCAAATAAGACCTCCCTACAGTACACCATGCACCAGTAAGCACACATACGGCGGCTAGCTCAAGGCGCTCACTGCTCACACAGTTCCCAAGACAGAGCGGTCTGCCCACCGCCCGCTCACCCAGCTGAAGTGGGCCCCCAGCCTCCAGGTTTCAAGCCACTGGACAGCAGAGCCAGGGGAGTTTTCTGCCAGAGTTTGCCATGGGGTCACCCACCTCTGAATAACAAGCAAGTGCTGCTGTGGGAACATTATTTAGCACCATCTGATCACAGAACGGAGAACGTTTGCCAGAAATAACCCTTTGGGCTTTGGCAAAGCAGGTACTGAGTTGCGCTTCCCGATGGTGGTTAAATAAGCGTTGTGGCTGCCTTTTGACGGTAAAACTACCCATGTATCAAGACGCACTTCCCTTCCTACTGCAGGAGGGCAGTATCCAGGGCACCTACAAAAGGTATCAGGTTCCAAAAGTGTAAGAAGGAGGTTACACCTAGGAGAGCCTCTGATTCTTGCTAATTCAGCACTAGGTGGTGGTTCTTAACCTCACTGCGAACAGAAACCACCTGGGAGCTTTAAACATGGACCCCTGGGTCCCTCTCGCAGAGATTCTGATTGAATTGGTTTGGTGAACCATCCGGGGCATTGGAAATTTTAAAAGCTCCAAGATGGTTTAGATGAGCATCCAGGGTTGAGATCCACTGTCTTATGGTACAAGCGGCTGACATCCACACTGAAAACATTCAGACGGAGTCTGAATGGGCGCGGTCTCTGTGCAAAGATCAACAAGAATCCGTGCCACGTTTTGCAAAGGTTTGCCGTGCGCTCCTAGCCATCACAGGAAGCAGAGCACAGGGTCAGGAGGCCCAGGGGGTTAAGGCTCTCAGAGGCCAGCAGGCTGGGTGCCAAGTGTGACTCTATCACTTACTAGCTCTGCAACCTTGGGCAAGTCACTCACCCTCTCTGAGCCTCTATTTAATCATCTGAAAAGGGGATGCTTGTCACCATGCCAATCTCACAGTGGTGTTTAGAATGTGATACGTCCATGCAGGGGGGATATGGACCCCTCAGGATACGTGGCTATTCCCCCAGATCATGTGGGCATGTGGGAAGAATACCGTTACCCTTTGATTTCACAGAACCGGGCCAACATTCTGACGACCTTCGCGGACTTGATGGAAAGCTGCACACCCTTGGGTTAGGTATTAAGTGAGTCAGATACCAAGTGAATTAGTGGCTCTGTGATTTATAGGAGCCAGGGAAAATGGAAACAGGGCAGACGTTGATGTGAAAGTCTCCCACGATCTCCACCTTCAAAGTGAATTCAAGCATATTTAGAAGAGTCACAGCCCACCCTCAGAAGAGCACCTGACCGGTTTAGGAGCAGACAGATTTCTCTTCAGAGGCCAGAGAAGCGGAAGGTGGTAAGATTTCTGGGACCCGTATTCAAGGAGACAGCTCCTGACCCCACAAGATGTAGGGAAACTGCCAGGGGACCAGGAGGCTGGCCTTGGTGTATTCCTGAATTTGCGTGTGTCTTAATGACGGACAAATGTTCTTAAATCTGCCTAACATTGGAAAGAAACAGACCAAGGCCTGACACTCTTGGTGGAGGGCTGCGGCAGCACAGTGGTGAGCTTCTTGCTGTCCCTGACCGTCACCTCTCTAGGGAGCCATTCCTGGGAAAAGCCATTCCTGGGAAAAGCCATTCCTGGGAAAAGCCATTCCTGGCTTTCACTTAAACGGAAGAGCAAAGAGGTAAACATGTTACATTTTAGGAAACGTGTGATGGTCGCTGGCCACATGGATGCTAATTTCTTCCCCTGTCACTGGAGCTGCACTGAGGTTTCAGAGCTGACTACAATTAACTGGAGAATCACATCTCGCTGTCTGGTTTGGTCAGGAAGGGATTATGGCCTCTGGCATCGTACATGTGGCTGACAGCCACTGGAGGAGGCTTCGGGCTTCCCGGTTCAGCCATGGAGATGGCTGAAGGTCAAAGCTACGGCCAAGGGACTGTGGTGGGCACCCCTCCCCCCGGCCCCCCAAACCGTGGCTGCCATCCTTCCTGCTCTCCCTGTGGCCAGTCTACTGCAGCAAGCAATCTCTGGGCTGTGTTGGTTTCTGTCTTGTGTTTTTGGTTTTTTTTTTTAATCTTTTTTTAAAAAGTATTTGTGTTGTTACCATAGAAGCCCCCTTTTGCATTCACTTGTGTTTTGAAGAAAATTCTCTCGTGTGTCTGTCTGGCTTGCGTTGTCTGCAGTAAATTGTGGGCTCCCAGGGGAGGGAGGTGTCTTGGAGGGGAGTCTGAGAGAGGCTCCTGCCTTCCCCATCTGCAGGTAGGGCCAGGGTCTGGCTCCATCATCATCCTCCCACAGAGGGCAGCCCGAAACAGAGACCCGCCCCCCTCCCCCCTGGCTTCGGAAGCTGAGGTTCTGCTGTCACATTTCATTTCATCATTGTCATGACACTGATCACACCACTATAATTATCTCCACTTTACAAGGTACCATTTTTGGGGGAGGGCCGGGCTGCGTGGCATGCAGGCTCTTAGTTCCCTGACCAGGGACGGAACCCGCACCCCCTGGGGTGGAAGCTCAGAGTGCTAATCACTGGACCGCCAGGGATGTCCCTATCTCCATTTCACAGAGGAGGAAACCGAGGCAGAGGGTGGCTAAGTAACATAGCAAAGGACCACAGCAAGTGCAGGAACCAGGATGTACCCAGGCCGTGGGACCTTGGAGCCCACAGCTGCGGCCATCTCACCAGGCTGCTGGGCTCCCATGCAGGGTGGCCCCCAAGGGTTCCCAAGCCTGGCTGGCCTCAGCCTGCCCTGGGAGATTTGACAGGTAGATGCTCAGCCCCATTCCCCACGCAGCCACACACACCTGTTGAATCAGGTTCTTGGGGGATCTGAGGCCCAGAAATCTGCATTTTAATTCTCTAGGTGGTCCAATAGGGCAGGACCACAGAAAGGTATCTGGCATCCCTGGGTCTAAAATCAGACGATGGTTTCCGCAGGGACCTGCCTGGTCTCACTCCTGGACACAGATGCATTTCTGAAAAGACCTGGGTGTGAAGAAACTGTGGCCTGAGAAGCCAAGCCTGAAGAGTAGTACCTTCATTCCCTCTCTGGAGCCAGTTCTGGAAGGAAGCCCTCCAGTGGCTGCATGTGAAGCCAGGCGTCTTTGCCTTCGAAGGACATAGTGCTTCCATTGACCACACTTGTACTGAGCCTTGGCTACAGGCCACGCAGACCAGCGTGGTCCCTGCCTGCCATGCAGAGGACGCGGCTTCTTGGCCGGGCATGGAGTCCCCAGCCCAACTCCCAGTACGGGGCACCCGGGCAGAGCAACCAGGCTGCTGGCAGGGCGAGAGACCCCCCGGCCGGGGACCCAGCTGAGCCCGGGCTTTCTCCTGCATCAGATGCGCGAAATGGTAACAATAACGCCTGCCTGTCTACTCTGCAAGGCGGAAGGGAGGTTGCCATCGCCGTGAGACGCTCTCCAGAGGCCGAGATCACAGCCGGGTCTGCAGGCTGTAAAGTGTTTTCACTGTGCTCTTCTGAGCGGAAGAGTAATGATGTGGACCACGGCGGTGACAGTGAGGGGCCCGCCCTGGGGGACCCAAGGCAGGAGCGCACAGGCCAGTGGACTCGGTTGCAAGGCAACGCAGAGTGTGTGTATTCCTTACTTTTAGTGGTCAGCGCTTTCAATGAACGAGGAAGAGAGAATAACATTGTAAAAGGACCCCTGCCATCCCCCTCCCGGCCCCTAAGGGTACTTTTGTGAGTGTGATTTGTGTGTGGGATCTGATGATGGGGTCAAGAGGCTGACCTGACCACAGGATCTGTACAGACAGACTGAGGAGGGCTCAGCGTGGGTTGCCCGGGGGCCCCTCGCACTGAGAGACCTCTGGCTGGGGGACGTCTGGCTGTGTGGGACGGCGGAGGGATCCGAGCTGGACAGCTGCCCTGGCTGCAGGGCGAGGTCAAGAGCAAGTTTTCCTGCCCAGCCCTTTCCACTCAAAAGACCGTGGAGCTGGGGGGTTGGGTGCCTGTTCAAGGGTCTGTGTATTAGCGGGAGCCAGAGTCACTCAAGGGCTTTTTTTTTTGGATTTATCTGAAGGTTTGGACAAAAAAAACACCAGCCTGGTTCACCCTTTCTCACGCCTCAAGAACCAAGGTCATATAGGACCTCCTCCCGGTGGTCAGTCCAGGGTGTTGTGGTGAAACGGCCCTGACTGCCTGTTCTAGGCCTCTGCACCCGCGCACACGGTGATGGGTGGTGTCCACACGCACAGGCCCCCGGTGTTGGTCTCACCCCGACATCCTCATAAGGGTGGCCAGCAAGCCCTGCCAGGTTCAAGGGCATCCCCTAAGAGGGCTGAGCTCTACCAGGTCAAAGGCAGAAACTCCAAGGTGGGCTCTCCCCGCCATGAATCCTGCAGTGGGCAAAGCAGGATAAGCCAGGAGGTTCATGCTCACCGTGACAGAGGCCCCGTGTTCCCTCACCACCAAGCGCCTCCATCGCTTACACACACACACACACACACACACCCCTCTGCACAGGGCACCCCAGAGGGAGGTAGCCTGGCTGGGTGCATCAATATCACCAAGTGATGGGAGCAGAGGGGACCCGTGCTCTGCTCAGAAGAGCACTGAAAGGCCTGGGGGAAGGACCTGGAACCCGGCTCATTCTATCCCCCCCTCTGGAAAGGACACCCAAGAAGGCCCATGTCATATGGAACGGCTCATTGTTCCAGGGAACCAGCCAGCGTTCGCCGAGCCTTTGCCTGGAACCTAGCCTAGGCCTCAGTGCCACAGACTGATGAGAAGACAGCCCAGGGCCCGCAGAGCCTCTGTTGCAGCCATGACTGACCTGCTGAATTATCATGCTCCCATTCAAGCCCACGGTGGGGGGACGCCGTGGATGTACAGGTGGGTGAGAGGGCGGGAGAGGGAAGGAAACGTCATCAATGGAAGGGGACCGGAGGGAGGGGGTCAGTGTTCACAGTGGGGCTGTGATGAGCCATTATTTCATTCATTCACACAGTGTCATTGATGGTCCACATTCTACAGATGAGAAAACAAGCTCAGGGAGGTGACTTGCCCAGTCACACAGCTGAGAAAGGACAGACTAAACCAGCCTGACCCAACCTGTGCTCCTTCCTCTACACCGTCCACTCCTGGCGCGTATATACATGTACGCATGGTTGAAAAACATGGTTGATGCGTGGATGAACAGACGACCAACCACATGTTCCTGAGCTGGATCCTGAAGGATGACGAGACCCTAAGTGGCAGGGAGGATGAGAAAATGCATTCCAGGCTGGGCAGACGAGATGAGGCATGTGGAACTGTTCTAGGCTGGAGGAGAGACAGCTGGTCAGAGCAACACGTTGGGAAGATGCCTCGGGCCGGCAGGAGCTGTGCCCTGCAGAGTTTGCCTCCGTGGGGTCCTGGGAGGGGTTCTCCCTCAACAAACCTGCTAGTACTTCGCAGAGCTCCCTGGAGAGGAAATGGGACTGGACCAGGGCGGGATTGGTCAAGCACCTGGTACCTCCTCCTTCAGGTAAACCCACTTATTCCCTCTGGTGAGGCAGGCAAGGTAGGCTTGGGCCTCTAGAAGAGGCTAAGAATGGGGGAAGTAATTAGCAAAGAGCTTGGGGCCATCGGTCATCAGAATTATCCCCCCCCCCCACCATCATCATCACCATCGCCATCGCCATCTTTATCACTGCTATCGTCTCCTGCATCATCACTGCCAACCCTCCGTGGCAAGCTTAGTGGCTAAGAGCAAGGCCTGGGAAGTCTTTCTGGGCTCTAGCCCAGCGCCATCACTCACAAACACTATGAACTTGGGCGTATTTTTTAACTTGCCCAAGCCTCATTTTCTTCATATATAAACTGGGATGATTGTAAAAGGTAATAAAGTTCTTAGCACCTGGTCTGGAACGTGGTGC